TGAATGTCCGTGCATTTTATTTAAAAAATAACGTGCGTACAGTATCATTATACAGCATGATCCTGTTAACTACGAGTTTTACATGTCAGAAGGTTATACAGCCGTATGAAAAAGAGGAAAAAAATGTTGAATTAGTTATTTCCACTAATGACGTCAAATAGCACGTGCACAGCTCTTAACACTTGTGATTAACATTCATTAACAACAAAGGGATTCATTTCAGGAAGTGTAAGTAATAGTGATAATAAACAACAATACATGGTAAAAGTATTAGCAAAATGACAATACTCATTTGTCAAAGCCATTTAGAAGATTAATTGCGATTGTCATTTAACGAATAATTGCCGCTTGATACTGAAAAATAAAGAAATGAAATTGTTCATAAAATACTGAATTCACTCGAAATAATTTGAGAGTAAATAAAATACAGAATTTCTCCTTCTCAAACTTCCTCTTGGACAATGTTCCCAAGCAACACGATGAAGTCAACACACATCTCCAGTTGTGCGATGTACCTGTCTTGCGCTGTCACGACGTTTTGATGGAAACGCAATTCTAACACTGGATCAAGTTCGGCCGACGCTCTTTTGACGTCAAAGTGATATGTGGTTTCATGCATCTTCTGTAACGTCTGGAAGAGGTCAGAGATACCTTCGTTCTTAGGTTTTCTTAATCTCAGTTCGAAGTCATTTCTGTTGGAGATGCTGTCTCTGTTCACCTCGTGTCTATTCTTGATGATTCGGATGCGGTCGCTCATTTCTTCTCCGGTAGTTTTTTTCTCTTTCAAGTCACTCTCTTTCAGTTTTTGAAGCTGTTCCTTAAAATTTTCGTCTGTCTTCGTCATCATCCTTGTCAAGAAGTCTTTGGCTGTTCTGATTTTCTTAATTTCGTTCAGATTATTCCCGTACGGCTTGAAGATTTGCAACAGTGCATTGTCTCTGTTTTCCCTCATGCAATTTATGAATGTCTCTCTTCTCTGCATGAGAGCCACATTCTCCTCGAGTTCGCTCCTCCAAGCAGAAATCCTTATTTCGAGAATTTTACTCTCATATTCACTCTCTAATAAACTTAATTTGGCCTTCTCAGTCGCCGATAACAGCTGTATGACATCATCTTTGACTTCGGCCCCGTCTTCCACTTTTATTCTGTTTTCTTTCCCTTCCCTTTCGATTTCTTCGTCAGACGAGGAAGAAGTTTGGTCTTTGCTTTGGCTCTGAATCTGTCGAAGTGTTGCGTATTTGCTGTGAATTTCGATGATTCTTTCCGCTCTTGAAGTTTTCAAGCTGATGACGTCACTTGACATTTGTTCGTGAATTTTGCAAATGTTTTCTTCGATGTGGGTCACTTCTTTGAGGTAATTTTGCTTATCGCTACTGACTTTTTCTGACACGTTGTTCAGTTTTTGTAACATCGGCTGAATTTCGATGTTCGATTCTGCGTCTGAATTTGACCGTTTGGCGTCGCAGAAAGAGGACCGGTTGTACCTTGTAATCTTATCACTCCTGTTTAAATTATTAAATGTTAAGTCGGTTCTTCTCTTCGCCCTTTCCTTCCTCATCTTGATACAAGTGATCAGTAGCGCGATCAGAAGCAAGACAACGATAACGAGACAGACGACAAAGCCAACGAAAAAATTGTTCTCGGCCACTCGCTCGACTGGGGCTGCGTTCGATTGCTTGAGGGAGGGCTTCGCCTCAGACATCGACTTTAGACTAAATTTCCCCGGATAGTTCTCGATGTTTATCGACGCCCCGCCCCCTAGCATAATGCTGTCATCAGCTAGAGGCCAAACCGTTGACTCAACCAAAGCCATTTGAGCTCCTTCTCGTAGGACGAGGCCCTTCGAAGCCACGATCGTCACCGACGTCCTGTGCATTCGGAGACGAGATTGGCCGGCCATCTCGAGCCTCTCTATTTTCCTGACGGTCGAGTCTTGGAAGGTCGCAGACGTCCCTTCCCCTCGGAGCGGCCGGGAGATGTCGAGGACGTCGATATGACAGTTGGTCGCGGTGATGTTGGCGACGGCGGCGGTAGCGGACGAGAGCGAGCCGATCTTGCTATTTTCCAGGTGTAGATGAGTCACCTGGTTGGGCAACCTGTCAAGTTGAGAATTCCGGACTGTCAGCTGGACTTCGCTCTGCTGGCAAGGGTCGGACTCGCCGCGGACGACCACCACTTCGGCGACGCGGTCGAGGGTCACGGTGTCGGCGCACAGGGACTCGCTGAGGTGCAGCTGACTGGCGCCGCGCACAGAAACCTTCCGCACGGACGCGTTGAAACGCTCGGTCATCAGCACCATCTGAGGCGGGGGAAGGGGGGATATCAGGGTATTTGTTTTCTCACAAACAAAATACAAACAGTCTTTGCATTCACATATGTATCTTGGGGCACATACATACCAACGCACAGACCAGCATACACTTACGCACGCACGCACACACCTATAAACCACACACTCACAGGCATAGGCGGACGCACACAAAAATTGCACATTATTATT